TCATAACAAACCTGAAGTCAGGTCACATACATAGTCTTCTACATCAACCCTTACTTATATCTGTTATATTACCATGGCTTGCCTGAAAGCTACATCAAAACACGGTTGTTTTAATGTTTTAACCGTTTCTTGATTGTAGCACCCTTGCTTCCTCAACCTAAGCTGTTTACATGTCGCAGTTGATAATAAGATTCCTGTGACAGTAAACGGATAAACTTACACACACAAGGTGCCAATACCTGTGACAGTTAACGGATAAACTTAAACACACAAGGTGCCAATACCCGTGACAGTTAACGGATAAACTTAAACACACAAGGTGCCAATACCTGTGACAGTTAACGGATAAACTTCCACAAACAAGGTGCCAATACCTGTGACAGTTAACGGATAAACTTACACACACAAGGTGCCAATAGATGCTGGTTCATCAAGTCATGTTTTTTATTTTGTTCATAAATGTAAGTACGTCCTTCTTCTTTTGTGTTCTTTTCCCCAGACCTCGCTTTGACAGATTATCTTGTGTGTAGTATAGTGCTGATTTTGACATATTGAATAGAAAATATTTGTTGAAAAGCATTAAATATTGCTTAACGATACACTTGACAATATTCTTAAGATGTATAGATGGCCGTGTTTTTGTATTTTGCAATGTGTGAATTAGTAAATGTTATGAAAATGTAATGAAAATGTAATGAAAATGTAATGCAAATGTAATGTAAATCTAATTAAATATAATGCTGGACTGTACAGCTTTTTATAAACTATCAAGTGCTTTCTGGTTTGTTAATTAAAGCGCTAATCTAAGACGTTAATAAGGATTCCAATTAAAAGTTTTCTTGTGTACTAGAAGTGTTTAGAAGCTACATTCTTGTATTCACATACACTTATGAAATACTGAGTATTTTAAATACATGCAGTCAGTTAGTGTGAGATGTTTACTACACGATATGATCTAAAGCGTGTGCTGTCAAAAAGATGCGTAGATGTTAATGTTTGTTTACAACAAAATCCCAAATTAAAGTCTGTACAACAACATATGTGCATATGATATGAATAATCAACAGATATAAAGTGATGACTATGCAGTTTACTCTGTGTTTTCTGTGTACAAATGTGGGGATGTTGGTTACCTTTGAATGTACATGTATTTAGTTTGAACGATTTTATAACTCCAGATAATACATTTAAATCCTAATAATAATGATCTTATACCGCCTTAAAACAACCTAGTTCGTAGGTCGTCTCAAAGCGGTTCACAAATTATTATCCGTGGTTAAAGGGTCTTTGCAAACAGCCAATATCTTTCTCAACTCCCTGAGAAGCATACAGCCGGAGCTGCCATTTTGGCGCTCAAAGCTAGCAATCAACAATTCCAGCCCTGCCCAACTACGTACTCATTTACAGCTGAGTAGACTGGAACACAGTGCCGTGTCGTGACTCGAACCCGCAACCCTTAGATCACGAGCCCGGCGTTCTACCACTAACTACCGTGCCTCCATCATTGTACATTACATTGTAATGGGGGATATCCAAAGACTCTTTAACTCTCAGTAGCTATTGAAACTTGCTTAGATCGTATATGAAACAACTGTGTTTACAAATTTACCTTTTAATCAAAGTTTTATTTTCTTATTGATTGTCTTTGGTACAATCAATTGAAAAAGTATTTTTAATTCTTTTTCATGATAAATAGTCTTTTGCTCCTTTAAAGCTATTTGGATATGCTTTTATACTGGCTTAAAATTACAAGAACTGTTTCCTCTGTTTTAAATGTTTTGTTTGTGCTTTTCATCCTATTTTTTATTATGTTTTTTCATTCTGCTTCTACACACAATTTTACCACACTATTTATTCTAAATGGCAAAAGGTATATCAATAATATTGACAGGATATATGGCATAGAGTAAAAGGTGTCATTGCAACATGTTTAAGCAGGCCAAGAAAAAAACAAAGTCACAATGTCGTCCTAGAAAAGATTGACTTTGATCAAATTACAAAGTAACAGATCAAATGTTTAAATATAAGATGCAAATTTTCGTTAAACCAGTATATTTAGAAAACGATTGAAGGGATTTACATCATTATTTGGTTCAATGTGGAGGACGCCGATGCACATACTTTCAGCATGACATTTCTGTATCAAAAGTCAACTTTCAGTATTTGAATAGGGGTGACATTTCGAATGTGCTTGTTTAAGGTAAAATCTTCTACAGTCCTGCAAAGTCAGGATTTTGTAGATTACATCTATAGCATGCATAGGTTGACTATCAATTTTGAAAAAAAAAGATTTACATCATAAAATTTCAAGATAATCAGTGTCAAACATGCCAATATATTCAAACAACCTCTGCTTTATAAGGAAGAGGCTAGTTCCATGATATTTGGCAAAGAGCATTCCTGAATGAAGGTATAAAGCCTCTGTACCAAAATCCATCTTCAACATGCTTTAGAATGTTATCCTTGTGCATCGTTTCTTTTAGTACTTTTATATTAAACAAATCAATCAAATCAAACAAAGCTTACTTTCAGTACTATGGTTTGTATAAAAAAAAATCATAGGGGGTGAAATCCACGAGTTTAGAAAAATGTTTGGAATCAACAAGCATGTCAGTCCTAACAGTGAAAATCTCGTCAATTTGTTATCAACAATTTCTCAGTATGTATTTGTTAATGTTATGTCTTATAAAGTGTCTAAATCTCGAAAAAGTTACAAATTATAGTGTCAATACTGCCGTCATTAAACCTCTGCTTATCTCATTTTGTTAATGGACATCACGAACCTAGAGCTCATATTAAACCAAACTACCGTTATAATGTATCCCGGAAAATCGACCTTTTCGCTCTCCGTAAAGAGAGGGAATTTATCAAGATAGTGGAATTAGGTACACAGCATATTCCACCTAGTAATATCAAGACAGTGAAAGTAGGTACACAGCATACTACACCTCGTGAAAGTAGGTACACAGCATACTACACCTCGTGAAAGTAGGTACATAGCATACTACACCTAGTGAAAATAGGTACACAGCATACTACACCTAGCGAAAGTAGGTACACAGCATACTACACCTAGTGAAAGTAGGTGCACAACATTCTACACCTCGTGAAAGTAGGTACACAGCATACTACACCTCGTGAAAGTAGGTACACAGCATACTACACCTCGTGAAAGTAGGTACACAACAAACTACACCTCGTGAAAGTAGGTACACAACAAACTACACCTAGTGAAAGTAGGTACACAGCATACTACACCTAGTGAAAGTAGGTGCACAACATTCTACACCTCGTGAAAGTAGGTACACAGCATACTACACCTAGTGAAAGTAGGTACACAGCATACTACACCTCGTGAAAGTAGGTGCACAGCATACTACACCTAGTGAAAGTAAGTACACAGCATACAACACCTACTGAAAGTAAGTACACAGCATACTACACCTCATGAAAGTAGGTACACAGCATACTACACCTAATGAAAGTAAGTACACAGCATACTACACATAGTGAAAGTAGGTACAGAGCATACTACACCTAGTGAAAGTAGGTACACAGCATACTACACCTAGTGAAAGTAAGTACACAGCATACTACACCTCGTGAAAGTAGGTACACAGCATACTACACATAGTGAAAGTAGGTACAGAGCATACTACACCTAGTGAAAGTATGTACACAGCACACTACACCTCGTGAAAGTAGGTACACATCATACTACACCTCGTGAAAGTAGGTACACATCAAACTACACCTAGTGAAAGTAGGTACACAGCATACAACACCTCGTGAAAATAGGTACACAGCATACTACGCATCGTGAAAATAGGTACACAGCATACTACACCTAGTGAAAGTAGGTACACAGCATACTACCATAGTGAAAGTATGTACACAGCATACTACACATAGTGAAAGTAGGTACACAGCATACTACACCTAGTGAAAGTAGGTACACAGCATACTACACCTAATGAAAGTAGGTACACAGCATACTACCATAGTGAAAGTATGTACACAGCATACTACACTTAGTGAAAGTAGGTACCCAGCATACTACACCTAGTGAAAGTAGGTACACAGCATACTACACCTCGTGAAAGTAGGTACACAGCATACTACACCTAATGAAAGTAGGTACACAGCATACTACCATAGTGAAAGTATGTACACAGCATACTACACTTAGTGAAAGTAGGTACCCAGCATACTACACCTAGTGAAAGTAGGTACACAGCATACTACACCTCGTGAAAGTAGGTACACAGCATACTACACCTAATGAAAGTAGGTACACAGCATACTATACCTAGTGATATCAAGGGCGAAATTTTAACGCTGCTCTTAAACGAACTATATATTGTGTTAAGGGCGAACATTTGTCTCGGCGAACGTTTCCCGTTACGCAATACTTACGGTACATACTATCATCTAATGCATATACATGTAAGTTACACACAGTCGCAAAAGGCGTACACATGTAAAAAGCCAGAGATACTCTTATGGTAACATTGGATTACATTTTGGTTTAACATCTATGTCTATACGATCAACAACCCCTTCCATCGTTCTATTTACCTCTAATGCAATAATTTGATTTGTGCATCTTTTTTAATTCTAAAAAAAGGTTTTAAAATCTGCATGTTGAAATTTTCAATACTTCATGTTTAAATCGTTAACATGTATTTATATTTGACCTTGCTTAGGGAAAAATTGTACAGTGATGGAAGTACAATGTGACCTTAAGTTGCTTAAGTGACCAGATAAAGTATATTATAGGGAAACTGGTTAAGCATCAGCAATGTACATTATATGTGTAACGAGGAAATGAAGCAACAGACATCATCAGTTTTTTTTTATATCTTTCTATTAGTGTAATGTAATTTAACTATGACAATTTACAATTTGGAAAACAAAGAATATTCAACAAAGTTGTTTAAAATAAAAATATCAGGAGAGGTACAACATGAAACATAGTTCAAACAACTACATATACATGCCTTGTTTGGTGACCGGTTTGGACGTCCGACACTGGTCCCTGAGGTACAACGTTCCATTGTTATTCACAATTGGATGTCCGATTTTGTCAGGTTCATAATGTACCATTGTTTGTTTGTAATCAATTGTCCAGTTAAATCGACAGACTTTCATCTCCGGAGAACAACTAGGAATCACTACGTTTTGAAATCCATTGACGACCTGCCCTGTCAGTAGACAAAGCCAGCAGAGATGGCTCAGCATGTTTGCGGTAGCTGTGTCTTACTGGTAATGTTCTGCGTCATCTGAAGGTTTCAAACGTCATTGTCATATCTGTCACGTGAGGAAACACCATCAGAGGATCATATCCAAGCTCACGAGGTATACATGTTCTAAGGATTACCAACGAGGAAGAAAACAATTACAATATATATATACGCGTATACAAGACTTTGAACCTCGGGGTTAAATCTATCATTGGAATTACTCTTGGTAAATACTGTGGTTTGTATTTAAACTTGCACTTACCATTCAATACAGAATATGTAGAGAATAAAATTGTATAACGATTCTGTTTATCACTTATGTGAATAGTCCAGTACCGAAGATACGTTTGCAATGCTGTCCAGTTACTAGCGCTATCAAAAGATTAATGTTCTCCTCTCTTTTCTATGAGTTGGTGATGTTGTGGTATAACTTTTCCTTTAGCGACGACGCAACTGTATATTTGATATTTATTAATGACATAATGTTATATGATGTGCTTGTTTCGCTGTATATGTTGTATTTTCAAATTAATTTTCTTTAAGTTTTTTCTTACAGAATTAATCAGTACAAATAGGTATTTTAGTTTAGGCCATAATGCAGTGTTGTGCCACTCTATACATATGAGACTGCTAGATAAATGTTATTAATATGCCTCTAGTGAAGATAAACTTACCAGTGACCTCTTATTTTTACACACTTTTTGTCATGTGGTGTTTTGTTTGCGTCGTCTTCTGTCAACATGACTACGTTACATCACGACAGGCTACCGGTAATGTTAATGGTTTAAGGAGTGTACACACACGATGCACCACATTTACAATTGCAAGAGCTTAAAATAGAACATCACAAATAATACTGGTAGTGGGTTAGGCGAGTCAAACTAAGGTTACGCCCAAGAAAATACGATTGACACAGAGCTAGCAAATACCTAGTACAGAAAATCAATGACGAAATATTGCCTTTTCGCCCCTTCAACCCTCTCCTATCATACAGGTAAAGTCATAAGCAGAAAGCCCAAGACTAAATTCTAGGACAATTTATTTTTAATTTGTCACTTACCTGTATTTCACGGAAAATTATTCCCAAACACTTACTTGGTCTAGTTAATAAACTCCAAGCTGGCCATGAAAATGACTTACAATAAAATTACAAGAAATGAACCAGTTATTTTAAATGTGATCACATGTATTACACAATAATAATCACTTAGAAGAGGTGTATAAGTTTCCGCTCCTTCCAGATCTCCGGACAGATTTATATCAATATAATGTAAATCTGCTCATCTTCAACATTTAAGTGCTTTAAGTTACGAAAGTGTGGCCATGTAGCTGTTCCCAAATGAAAAGTTTTGAATATAATAAGAAAAAGAAAAAAAAAAAAAAAAAATGAATATTAATGAATGACTTTTTACATATGGGTCATATCACTACGCCTTCTTTGTAAACAAACACATGCTAATCATGTCACATTCCAACCCAACCCATCAACCAATTACTGTGTAATACATATTGCTCAATGTTAGGTTGGCCACAGGTTTAAAGCAATACCACACTAACTGAAACATATAAGGCATCGTGATTATATTTCCTCTTTGAAATGACAGCCCCATAGCCTTCAGCGAGCCCTTAATGTTGACATGATAACAGCTAGGGGTAGGGAAAAGATAAACATGTATATATGGAGAGTGGATCGCTCTGGTTTCGGAGATGTTAAATTCTGGTTTTAAGAAATTTTGTTCTATGCATATTCTGTCGATTTGTTTATACATATTCTGAAGTGGTACTTGAGGGAAACTCGTGTTATACAAACCCTGGTTTTCCTCGTTATTCCATTTAGCAATTGCAGTTGTTGGATCGCACAATGTTACACGATGTGCGGTGTGCACACCGTGACTAACTGTGGGAGTGTGATGTGCGTACAAGTGTTCGATACGTATCGTGGTTGATATATATATTACTAGTATATATGGAGCAAAGAAGTAATTCCAACAGTGTGGACAAGTTTAGGTTGTCAAATTTTCGGAGCGATCCACTTCTTTATCAAGACATAGTCAAACAGAACAGTTACATATACATATACATCGTATTACAAGAAGATAGAACTGATATACTATAATTGAAAATATAGCTATTACTAGTATACATATATTGAGGAACGGTGCAAGTGTAAATACGATTTGGTATTTAAGGTTATATCTGTCCTGATTTAAGTATAAAGCTATATTTCAACCGGATTACCTGGCTATCTATATCTAGCAGTAATTGACACGTCAAGAACATTAACAAGTGTGTAGACTGGTGTAGACATGTATGTACTGTACGCGCAGATCAGAGTACACACAGCAGCCTAACCTGTTACCACGGGTTCTGTTTCGTATCACAAGTCAACCATGATGGAGATGTGAAGTTTCAATACAAAGCGTAACAGAAACAATTAACACAGGTGGGATCCAGTTGTATGTTTTGAAAACTTTCACATAATAGATGACCTCTAATCGACAATCACCTCCATTCAATGCACTGCATACATGTATTAGTAATATCCCAGACAGTACACCCATACTTGACAGCGGCTAATCACTGGTATCTGACCAATCATTTCTTACAATACAGAGATATGTATGGATTATCTTTCATACGCTTGCGAGTTTTTAAGCGTTTTTGTTTGCATATTCGTTGATGAGATGAAATGAATCGAGCAATTGACCTGCAATTATTGATTTAATTGATTTATTTCGTTTTAGATCATATATGACATTTTGTGTTTATATATATCGTTCTGACTGCCAAATATGAAAAGTAGACAAAATTATTTTGCACAAAATCGTTAACCTTTGATTCCCAGCAATACTTGTAAGGTAGTATATATATACTGGCCTTTGAAATGACTATTGAGTATCCAGACCCAGGCCTATTATATTGGAATACCCTGATGTTGGAGATTTTATATTCTAGTGTCAAAGAAAAATAAATATAAAGCACTATGAATACATTTCCATCTTTGGAATCTAGTATCCCAATCGCGGGTACTTCATATTAGCATGAACACATCTAAGGATGTGGCGGAGATATATATATATCAAGATGGAAACTCCTTGGTTTCCTATTTCACTTCTGTGAAGTTTTTCAAGAACGATAACTCTTACCTGCAATTACTATGTGTATATGGTTTTATTATAAAATGTCAATTTTATATCGTCTATAGAGAATTAATTTTACACAATTTCAGCATTTATTAAATTGATATACATTAATGCAATACTAATATATGTCAGTATCATTTTTATTGACATTATTTTGTAAAAATATTGTGTCTTTCATTTTTTTTTTCAAAATTCATTCCTTTTTACATAAATTTCTATTTTAAATCCTTAAAATTCTGACAACCTATATTTTTATTGTGGCAGAAAATTTTCTTTACTTTAAAGCAATATAATTACAAAATTTGAAGAAATTCTTCGAAGAAATGGTGACATAACCCTATTACCTTAAATGCTGTTGTCAAAATAAAATAAATATATATTCAGGTGTGCTACCTGAGGGAGGAAAAAGGACAAGAATGGCAGGTGTTAAACAAGGCATTTAAAAAACATGTGCACCGAGCGAATATGTCTAAGTGACGAATTAAGTATGTTTTGTGATCTTATCAACATGCCTTATTATAATAAACTGTAGAAAAAAATGTTTTTGGTGTCTAAGAGTGGCGCGATAACAATTACATTAAAATACACTTTAGGCGCGTCTGAATGGAAATTTAAATCCTCGTTTTGAATAAATCATGTTTATTTTAATATTTAACAAGAATTCATGATATATTTCAAACTTTTTGTATAAATAGATTCAATACTTGATTAAATCAATTTGTGAATACTGTGTTACAGTACATGTAACCTTGAGTCTATATGAGAGCTATTGAAGAAGGAAAATGTCGAGCAGCAATAGTTTAGACAAGTTAAACATGTTATCCTAAAGATTTGGTTTACATTTACATGTTCATATTATCCACATTTTCTAGTCAGATGTTTCCGTTTTTCACAAAATCATTACGTAGTTAATCTTTCCTGTCCGAGATACTTCATTGCATGTCTTAAGACGTTTTATAGACGTATCACCTTACTGTAAGGAATTTCATATTTGCACGTTGAAATAATGGCGCATATATTATAATTTTTCCATAATATATGACATGCGTCCGTTAAAGGAATGTTCTCTTACGATCAACAAATATGTAGAAGAATAAAACAGGCAATATATGAAAGCAGAGGTAAACAAAAGGAGCTGAAACCACGTGCACACAACCTTGTAATACTTGAACAGATTTCCCACTAGCTGTAATAGAATGTACAAATATGGCTATAAAATGTCATCATATACCCGCAGTTTAAAATATCTCTCTTACGCACTAAAATATTAACCCATTGAGATATTACCGCTATCCGATTGAACATTTTGATTAAACTATATTGTACTTTGATAATTATACTTCGTAAACGTGGTCAATTAGTGTTAATAGTCGTCTACTACAGGTAATGCAGTAGTATCAAGTCTGTAGTTGATAGTCTAGGATCCCGAATGATACCAGGTCATTTTATTTCTTACACCGAATACAAAACTTTTCGCTCTTGTGTGCTTGTTTTTTTTTATCTATCTAGATGTGTTACTTGAGAAAAACTCGTTCGAAAATTACAGATATTTAACAAATGATTCAAATAGACAATTGGTGATCGAACGCGCTATTGTTGAAAGTCGATGTCATCAAGATACAGGTACAAAATAGGAACACATAGGCGTTATAAAGGGAAAACAGTAGGAGCCAAAAAGGTGACAAAAGAAATGGACGACAGGACAGCATTATTTTATTACTGCATGGTATATTCCTGAAGGATGCCTCTGATCGAATCCTGGTAACACAGGACCATCTAAAACCTTGTGTTGTAAGGATTCAACTATGAAGGTGGATTCCGTAATGGATACTCTGCTACGTAATGCTTTATTTATCTGATACGCAAGGATAAAATCCGACTTAAAAGTGGAACACAATTAGACACCAGAGGAAATAATAGAATCATTAAAGGAAAAGACATATAAAGAATAGGGAAATAAACACAAGCAGAACAAGATGTGACAGGGTTATCCGGTAGATCATGAGGCTATTTGCCCAGACATGTGATTCACCGTATGATGATAGTAAATGTCACTCCAAACACAATCCGTGCAAATATGTTTCAATTTAAAGCATTAAAAACATTTTGTTAACGTCCAACATGTCGTGTTATAAGGAAACGCAGAAAAAACAATTTACTGCCTTGAGTGGCGTGTTAAAAGGGACATTAAATTACAATACAGAAAAATCGAATGGAGATATGAATTAACTTTGTTTATTTTCATAATAAACCAGAGCAGGTGATGTATTCTATACTGGATTATATTAATTCGTCAAATATTGTTTCACATGTGGTCTTACACATATATTATGGAAAAATTATAATATATGCGCCATTATTTCAACGTGCAAATATGAAATACGTAACACTAAGGTAAAACGTCTATAAAACTTCTTAAGACATGCAATGAAGTATCTCGGACAGGAAAGATTAACTACGCTATGCTTTTGTGAAAAAGGGAAACATCTGACTAGAAAATGTGGATAATATGTAAATGTAAACCAAATCTTTAGGATAACATGTTCAACTTGTCTAGACTATTGCTGCTCGACATTTTCGTTCTTCAATAGTTCTCATATAGACTCAAGGTTACATATACTGTAACACAATATTCACAAATTGATTTAATCAAGTATTGAATCTATTTATACAAAAAGTTTGAAATATATCATGAATTCTTGTTAAATATTAAGATAAACATGATTTCTTCAAAACGAGGATTTAAATTTCCATTCAGACGCGCCTAAAGTGTATTTTAATGTACTTGTTAACGCGCCACTCTTAGCAAACAAGAACATTTTTTCTCTACAGTTTATTGTAATAAGGCATGTTGATAAGATCACAAAACATACTAAATTCGTCACTTAGACATATTCGCTCGGTGCACATGTTTAATACCTACCATTCTTGTCCTTTTTCCTCCCTCAGGTAGCACACCTGACTATATATTTATTTTATTTTGACAACAGCATTCAAGGTAATAGGATTATGTCACCATTTCTCAGTAGAATTTCTTCAAATTTTGTTGTTACATGTATATTGCTTTAAAGTAAAGAAAATTTTCTGCCACAAAAAATGATATAGGTTGTCAGAATTTTAAGGATTTTAAATGGAAATTTATGTAAAAAAGAGTGAATTTTGAAAAAATAATGAAAGACACAATATTTTTATAAAATAATGTCAATAAAAATGATACTGACATATATATATTAGTATTTGCATTAATGTATATCAATTTAATAAATGCTGAAATTGTGTAAAATTAATTCTCTATAGACGATATAAAATTGACATTTTACAATAAAACCATATACACATAGTCATTGCAGGTAAGAGTTATCGTTTTTGAAAAACTTCACAGTAGTGAAATGGGTAGCCGGTTTCCTGAAGTACAGAAAAATTGACACATGTGATTCATTGATAAAAAAACACCTGAATTAATGCCTGGATTGCTTTGAAATACTTTAATATTGAGAGAACACACTGTTTTGTCAATAATAAACATACAATATTCATCAGTTTAATATTAAACATTAGAATTTGCGGAAATTGTGATACTGTCTCCCTACATTGGATTTTCAACAAGGGATTTACTTCCTGTTTCCGTTTATCAATACACTCCAATGACCTTAATATCTGCAAAACCAAAGAGCTTCCATCTTGATATATATATATCTCCGCCACATCCTTAGATGTGTTCATGCTAATATGAAGTACCCGCGATTGGGATACTAGATTCCAAAGAAGAAAATGTATTCATAGTGCTTTATATATATTTTTCTTTGACACTAGAATATAAAATCTCCAACATCAGGGTATTCCAATATAAAAGGCCTGGGTCTGGATACTCGATTGTCATTTCAAAGGACAGTATATATATGTACTACCTTACAAGTATTGCTGGGAATCAAAGGTTAACGATTTTGTGCAAAATAATGTTGTCTACTTGTCATATTTGGCAGTCAGAACGATATATAAAAACACAAAATGTCATATAAGATCTAAAACGAAATAAATCAATTAAATCAATAATTGAAGGTCAATTGCTCGATGAATTTCATCTTGCTCAAACTTCGATAAAGCACATATTTGAATTAAGTGATATATATCTTTTAAGTATTATGCTTTGTGCTTTTTATATTTCGTTATATAAATGTAGTTTAAACAAACAACTGAGTACTATCCCCATGTTAACGGTTTATTTTTGCTCCTGTCGTAAATAGTCGGCGAGTTCAAAAAACATATTTGAACACGTTTTAATGAGATAGGGCACATGTTTTACTTCCTGCTTTTTGTAAGTTTGTTTTTCTTTCCTGTATCTTTTTGGTGTTTTTTGAGTTATTGTTGTCTGAGCTTTGGTTTTCCGGTCTTGTCAGAAGCCATTGTTGTCTTTTCTTGCTGTCGTTGTTTTTCATTTTATTTTGGTGAATCCTTGGTATCTCAGATTTAATAAAGGTGGCAGGTTTTCATATGGCCTTTTCGTGTCTTATGTTTTCTCTAAACTTCAGGTAAACTTATACAAAAATAAATGTTAAAACAATCCTATTGCTCCATTTTCTTATCGTAATTGATCTGTTGATTGGCAAAGTTATTGCTTTCTATTTTTCACAGGATATTTATTGAATAAAATCTCCACACGTCCTGTTGGTTCGAGTCGAATTTATTATGACCGGAGCATCATTGCAGAGTCATACAGGAAAAAAAAAACGACAATACAAATATGGCCTAGAATTAGTATGTCGCCGTATACAATACCTATGTTTGACACGTCCAATATTTAATTTATATATACTTTGAATTAAATATTCCAATTTATGACTACATTTAGGCATTCATGCTATAGTTACCTTCCGAGACTGTCAAGGTCTGGTAAAATCATGTCTATATACTCACTCTTTACGAGTACGGCTGGACTGTGCAGGCGGGACCCCAGAGGATATGTTCCGTCTCACGATAAACGGCCAAGTGCGAATTAGCGCTGTATATTATAACTTTTATTACTACTCTCTCTCACACTTCCATGTTTTCTTACAAACTCACACCCTAATCTACATATAACTCATCAACAACACCAAATACGGACACATAGAGACGACCACGACACAACACGGGTAGGACACCACCCTGAGCTATAAATAGTAACAAGGTGCTTTCCACATTACGATACACATGTGTATTACTTTGGTTGGTGTAGAATACTAGAGATAGTTCGATGAGTAATGCAAAAAAAGTATATAGGCTTTATGTTACGGTAGATGCAAGTGATAGTTCTTCAAGTATCCTTGTTCCAATGCATTCTTGGTTCCTACCATTATTTTCGTTTTGACTATAACAGTACCAACGTTGAGCCAGAACACTTTCATTGACAACATACAATGTAGCTCATCGGCAGTATTACAATCAGTTTTTAATCCTGGTGTACCCCGCAGTGTTCCTACAATCAGAACACCCTTTTCTAATACATTTTACCTATATTATATTTCATTAATGTCCTTTAAGACGTGATTTTCTTTAAAGAAACGATTTATAAACGCTATAGTCAAACTGAATAAAATAACAAGAGTTTCCTATGTGTATTTCCGTGATGTACCAGGCATAGTGGAACCCTTGATAAAGGTATGATGCAATAATTACATAATAACTAGTAAACGTTCCGAACATAGGGGAAATATTATTAATTTTATGACACACGTATGACACAACAAAACAAACTCTGTCATGTTTATCACTGTTTTAATACAAACGCACTAAAAAATGTACATGAATCATTAATATTTTTCGATATTTTTCCTGATTTGCAATGTTTGTTTCATAGCGTAATGAACAACTAGTTGGTATACTAGGTGTAGTAGGGTATGCTGATTACCTAGTTCGTGGCGATTGAGAGGTGGATATCAAGACAGGCCATGAATTTGCCATTGCTCCTAAGTTCTCCTCTGGCATGGTAATCACCGGAGGGGAAGTAGAGGGACCCTGCATCAAACGGAGAGGGAGGCAGCGTGTAGGTTTTCTGGTAGAAACCAAACATAATTCATATGTACATAGGAGTCGTATTTAGTTCAGTGCTACATTTACACAGACATTCAGTACATTATAAATAAAGTGCAACATGCATGACAGTTATCCATGTTCATGCATCTTTTTGCTGGCATTCCAAAATCAAAAAGGATTCACATTTCCTTAACCGAAGGTGTCACGTTCATATATTCATCTTAAAGGAATACGTACGTACATTCAATGTATGTTGTTCTGTTTTGTATGTATTATATATGTACGCGTATACTAGTGCTATACTGCCTAATAGGAAGACTTAACGACCGAGTAAGTCTGCATAAAAATGCACGAAATGAACTTGGACGCAAAGATAGTCGGGGGAGGGTTTTCTCAACCGGAAACGGGCTAAAATACTCTCACTTTAACCACTGCATATGACGGACTAACAGATAAAGTATTTTTGATATGGTCAGGGAAATTACACGTACCGATGATGACACCGTTTGATTATTGACATCATAACGAAATGACGTCCCATCACGTGGGCATGTATGCTAGATTCGAAAATGCCGCCGCAAGGTTATTTGTTTAAATAAAAACGAAAGAGGGAGGTGAACGAAAATAGGGTAGACATCATATTTCTGGTCGACACCATTATGAACGCTAGAAAGACAGATCTTTCTCCAGTCGTGTTATTTGAGCTGGGAGATACTAATAACGACATTTCAAAAGAAGCAGAAAAAAAGAACATGGCGGACAGTGATAAGTAAAATATTCTTTGTGAACCGAACTGACTTGTGGCATGTTTAAACCTTTTGAAAAAAGTATATAGTATTGTTATATTTGTATGAAAATATCATTATCTTTTTTTCATGGCGGAATAGAAGCGTATTGTCCAATACTTCCAATTAAGAGGACAAGCGTGAAAGAAGCATTGTTTGTGTGCCATTTTTGTAACGTTCTTACACAATGTATAACTACTCGTCCTCCGTCCCGAAACTTGTTGAAATATGAGCGTGTACTTCAAAGTGCATATATATTGACTAAGTCACTGAAAAACTGACCAAGATCGCGAAAATTTCGAAAACTTTCAAAATGTTTTTTGCTTTTCCAAAGGTCATGATATATATCAGATTATATTAATGATGAATTTCGTGTATTTTTGTCATTTGTCATGTGTTTTATTTGTATAGAAGTCAAATGTTGATTAGTAGTGTGTCCTAATAGTTCAGGAGAAGAGGAATAATTGTCCGTATTTGTCAGAAGTAGCAGGTCGGTCTATCTATGTAGCTTACCACATCAAACGGACAGTTGCAGTTGATGCCATTCTTTGTTAATACATCAGGACATGTCGCCCCATCCAGGATGTCACAAAGGTCGTCGTACACACAGGAGCCGAAATCGTCAATACAGGGAATCTTGACATAAGTAGAGCCTACCTTCTTCTCAATAGTCACATTTGCCTAAAAATAGAACTTTGCATTATATGGTATAATTGGGCGCCTAGAAAAAAACGTCCAATAACAAATTTCAAACGATTATGAGCGTAAAAAACATAAAAAAAACATACCGTATATTTACATGTGCATGGCATTGTCACTATCCTAGTCTCTTTGAAAGCTGTGTCGTTGTTGGGACTTTAATTACCATGCATCACGAGACACAATTCTTAGCGTATTAATACAACACTGACCGGAACTACAATATCCAATATAAATAAACATGACGGCTGCTGAAATATCGCTGGGCATTGTGAGATTTGACAATGCCATTATAAATCTAAGTGCAAAATAGAAATATAAAATAAAAAACACTTTTATTATACAACGAAAATAAGACCAATGTTTGCAATATCGTACAAAATGCACATCGGTTGAAATCACCAATGCCGGCATGTGATAAATAAAATATCTTATTTGATTATATGCTTAAGATATATTATGTTACATATCAGATAACTAATATCATTGAAATCTTGTTACCATATGGGATACTTAATCACCCCTCGAGAATCGTTCGGAGCACGTCTTTTAGAGGCTGCCATTTAACGTATCCTTGAGGTGGGCTCCGACATTATGGCGACAGGACCACGTGTTGACAGCAAGCCTACTGGCTTTTCTAGTATTAGATTCTCGAGACATTCCGGGTGGGAAACTTGGTTTGTGATCTTTTTTACAATCTCGTTCCTATATGAGATATCTTACATGTATATAGTGGCGAGATTTTACACTATATTAAGATATCTTATACGGCGAATTAAATGATATATCTTATACTGCATGATATATCTTACATAGTCTCATTAATATCTATATGAGAGATCTGATAAAGATTATAAGAGATCTTATATATTATATAAGGTATATCACCCTACTATATAAGATTTCTGATACACTATTCACGTATAAGATAGTTCATATAGGTTTATGAAATTCGAGATCGACATGGCTCCTTGAATAAATGTAATTTGCTTGCCATACCATTGTGTTTTACTGTTATTATTGAAGCATATAATTAAACAAGTTTGGACTTCTGTGATGGTTCGCCTCGGCCAGTATCACTTTATCATCATATCATTTAATATTCACCAGCAGGAAAGTCCCTTCGTATAATAAATACAACAGCTCATTTAATGTACATCAGCAGGTAGATATATCATTGGCAAGAAAATCACAAATGTTACGATAATGTACTTTGGAAGTCTGCCAGCATCTCTACACGACGTTAACACTTTTAATACATATACATCAGACACTTTCATTACTATCTAACGTCACAAATGTGGCGATAATGGGCACAAGACGCATGTCACATGCATAGTGATCCCATGTTTTTTGGTGATAAACCACGCTATATTGATGTCTAGGTATTTACCCTATTGCAATATAAGCATTCAGGTGTATATTTCTTTAATAATAAATATATTGTAAAATCTTGCATAGCTTGTGCTGCTGTTACATAATTGAATAATACGAGTTATACTTATTTAGTTATAATTTGGTAGCTTTATCAAATATGGACATATTAATATAGTTTTATAAAGACACGACAACAGAATGCCGAAGTAGTACTAACAAAACCTTAATTTGAAGTCAAACTCGATAACAAATAGGGAAAAATATGAACCAGGTGTTCCGAAAGGGTAAGCGTCTTCTGTTTCTTCAACGATACCGCAATGTAAATCAGTGTCAAATCAAAGAAATGAACTTACGTCGAGAACTCGGGTAGTGACAGACAATAAATGTCAAAGGCACACTAATGAGCATAATACAAAATGTTGTCCTTCATATCACGACACGAAATAGTGACAAAATGCATCGTTATTCTTTAATCATATATTGATGTGCTTTAAATATCAAGTAAGAATGGTATATGTGACTGAAAGCGTGGTATTCAATAGGCTTTTTTTTATAATACACAAACAATAAGATGCATTGTGTATCTATGAATGTATTGGTTATGTTATACAATGTAATGTATGTTAGGTCTACACTGTACGACTGTGACGGAGTGACCAGCAGGGGGTGAAATGTGTGTGGAGGAAAGGGCAGCAGACCGGACTAAGACCGCAGCGAATTTACAGAGATAAAGACAATATCAACAGACTTGTGCAGTTGGCAGTTGTATTACAACGTACCCTGGGTGGCTTTGGAAAGCGTTGAGGATATTTAGTTCAACACTGCAGATACAGGATTAGCCGAGAGACTAGGTTGAAGCAGACGACAGAAATTATCGAGTAGTAAAACGCAGTATCACGTATTTTGCATTTTGGATTTATTTCAAAATCTAATATGCTTTACGTTATTGTTTGACTGTTAGATATTATCACAGATCTAATTCCGGAATATGTATAGTCCTGATTTAGACTGCTTTGTATTTAAATGTTTTTTTAAATGTGATGTCAATGTACAAATCATGCTATATTTCCTTTTCTTGATACATAGTACTGTAACGTATTATATATCTGTATTGTGTAACTTGTAAATAAATTGTATATGCGATACATTGCCAGATTTGACTTTAAAATAGGTAGTACTTATTTTGATTATTTTGTATTTGAAATTTAAATATTAGGTTAATCTATCTTGTTGTTTTATTGTTTTATTTGTTTTATTTTGAAAGGTTCGGTGAGAAAATAGCTTTGACTTTAAATTAGGTAGTACTTATTTTGATTATTTTGTATTTAAAATTTAAATATTAAGTTAATCGTAGCTTGTGGTTTAATGGTTAAATTTGTTTTATTTTGAAAGGTTCGATGAGAAAAAAGGTTTGCTGTATCCCACTAGATGTTCGCTTGCTGCAGAACTCGGCCATCGTTATCTGAAATGATACCATGTTTGGTGGTGTGTTGACTTGATCACTCTGATGATAAACACGTTCTTTACGGAGTGATATTATCAACCCAGGTGTTGTTATGAACAGGCATGTTTGATTAGATATACTTATGTAGCAGTCCTGTAGAACTCTGCAGTACAAACATGAAACACCAGGGTTTTGTTAACGTAATAAAAAGCGCCGGTGTGACACTAAGGTGATGTACGTGTAATCGGGAAACACGGGTGTGGCGGTTGTAGTGGGGCGTCTAACACTTATGTAGTCATATGTAAGATCTACATGAGGTGACGTGTATGACGTACCTGTAGTTGGAGAGTATGATCTACATTCAGAGAATTGTAAGACATTCCTCTAATCAGGTGTATTACCAACTGTAGTGTGAATGACCTTACCCGTATCAGGGAGCATGTATTTCCTACCTGTAGTTAGATTATGATATTTCTGTTGATAACTGTATGACTTTTCTCAAATCAGGGGTATTACCTACCTGTAGTAAAATTATGATATTTCTGTTGATAAATGAATGACCTTTCCCTAATCAGGGGTATCACCTACCCGTAGTTAAATTATAATCTATCTGAAGATAAATGTATGACCTTTCCCTAATCAGGGTTGCATGTATTACCTACCCGTAGTTAAATTATGATCTACCTGAAGATAAATGTATGACATTTCTCTAATTACCGACCCGTAGCTAAATTATGATCTTCCTAAAGATAAATGTATGACCTTTTTCTAATTACCGACCCGTAGCTAAATTATGATCTTCCTAAAGATAAATGTATGACCTTTCTCTAATTACCGACCCGTAGCTAACTTATGACCTTCTGAAAGAAAAATGTATGACCTTTCTCTAATTACCGACCCGTAGCTAAATTATGATTTTCCTAAAGATAAATGTTTGACCTTTTTCTAATCAAAGGCCATTACCGACCCGTAGTTATAATATCATCTACGTGTACATAAATGTATTACCTTTCTCTATTCAGTGGTATTACCTACCCGTTGTTAATATAAAGAATTGTACGACCTTTCTTTAATCAGGAGTATTACCAACCTGTAGTTAAATTATGATCTACCTGTAAATAAATGTATGACTTTCCTATCGGGAATAATGCCCACCTGTACTTAAATTGTGATATCCCTGTAGTAGAGTGTATAACCTAACTCCATTCATGGGTACGACCTACCTGAAGTGGGGAGTCGAGTTTCGTGCTGATGATTGCTGAAGCCCCAATCGTCATAGTTCCGGGAAATTTAAGGGGATCGGGAGAGAGAGATAAACTTTTGATGTGTGCTCCCATTCCTCCACAGTCCATCCACTGAAAGGCCGTCACTTTAGAACTGTTGCTTTCCTGAAATGATCAGATGTTGGCTTTAATTAACAACATTACATACTCTTTAGGATGGGTAGCTAATGAGTACAGTAAAAGTTAAGTATAATACCGCACGCTATTGCATCGAAGTATGTTTCCATTATTCGCGGAAGATAACGTTATCGGATCTGTTTTATTGGGTGATTTTGTATTAAAGTTAAATGTATCACAATGCTTTTATTAAATATAGAAACAGATACTCACCCTTTTCTTGAAAAAACTTGCAGGATTGTATCGTTCTGGTATAACAGATTTCGACAGCAGGTTAAAAACGAGATCAGTTTCATCTTCTAATGCCTTCTGTTCAACCTTTAATATACTTGCTGTACCTAGTCCTAGGACAGCTACGAAAGTCAGAGCGACAGCAAAGGTCATGATGGTCTTGTCTTACCTACAATGAAAAACAACCTGTACTTACAACTGATTTAGTAATGTTATTGTCACTTGTCGATACATGTCTTTCGTGAGAGGATAGCTGATAACGTCCTTATCACTCTGTCTCTATCAACGACAGTAGTAGTAGGAAAGTGCCGCTTTTGGGCCAGGGTCATTGGTTACAGTCTCCTTTATAACCCCGCATCACCCTGCAGCACCACCCTAACCGGGTGGTACAGTAATGATGACGCAATGGGAATTCCTACACATGGTCTATATTTAGATGTCTACCACAACGGGTTGTTCTGGAACCTTCTGACACATAATACAATAACAACGCAAATATATGTACAACCATTCATTGTCTCTGTCGATAGAACAGACACGGGTCAGAGAGCCACCCAACTTCTATTCTTACAACACATATCCACAGATAGCTCTCGCTGTTTGTTTATGTCTGACTCCGTTGTATAAAAAACATACAGACTAGGTCACACTTTGTATGTTAACCGAATATTTTCACGCGTACAAAACTGAACTGTATTATAGCATTTCCAATAACGTATAGCCTACGTTCTTTATGTGTATGTAAAATAGTCTCACTGTATGTGTAAATCCACCCCACATTTACATAAGCTACCAACAGACAGACATCTTCTATCAACTATCGTGTGGTAAATATTACAGCTTACACAATTTTTCTTATAAGTTATAATAGTTTACCGTTTTACTATCCCGGTATAATTCGTTGCTCTGCAAACCTGTATATTTCCCTATCACAACGATAAATCCATCGTGTATGTCACCATTGCAAATGGCGGAGGTATGTGTATCGTATGACGTAGGTTCTAAATTTGACCTCGCTGTGTTCAGTTCAGTTCTTTATTACCTTGAACCTTACGGCTCATCAGTTCAAAATAAACATATAGTTCAAGTTCAAGTTCAATTTGTTTATTTAAGTGTTACATATCACAATTACATTTATGTTCATTAATACATATAAAATCCTTGTACAAAATATAAATCAATTCCATTGGTACATATAAAATACTTGCAGTTGGTGTTTCCTAGAACTTAAAATAGTTTGTTTAACATAAAAACACCAAAAAAAAACCCACTTGTAATAGGGATCAATATCGACATTAGATTATTGTGAGACTACCCTTCTTATTATTATTAACATGTAGGTTGCAGTGACTCAAAGTGCGCTACCTTAGGGTTGGGGAGAGCCCTACCAGCGAAGACATGTCGCTCTGCGCCACTGCAATCATACGATGTAACTTTAAAAATAAAATAATTTTATATACAAGGATAAACAATACAATCACTCACACACACACACAAACCCACACTCACATATCCATTATATTTGTTAACTGTTTTTTGTTCACTGTTTCCATAAGTTTGATAAATTTATACATGCTTGGTCTTTCATAGTAATATTTATTAATAAAACGCTTTCTTAAATCTACAAAACATTCACATTTTAATATAAAATGAAATTCATCTTCGATATCATGAAAGTTGCAGTATGCACATGTTCTTTCAATCCTATCTACATTGTTATTTATACCTACCAATTTCAATATTTAATTTGTGAGATGACAGTGTGATTTTTGTAATTTCTTTCAGATTTGTATTTCCTATTGGTTTTGTAAGATATGGTTGTAAACAGAAATTGTCGTCAAGAAACTTGTACAGTGAACACTTGGAAGATACGTCTATTTTTTCTTTACATTCTTGCTCAAATATATATCACACATTCTGCTCCATGTTGCCATATGTACCCTACTCCCATTCTAAATAGTTCGTTTCTTACTCCATTCATCCATTCACTACCATTTTCTAACATTTCTTGATAACATGCATGTAAAACACAATTATCAGTTTGTTTTGATTTTGACCAGTATTTAAACATTCTAAATTTCCTGATTATTTCCAAAGGTAATCTTCCTAGTTCTTGGTAAACCATAAAATTTGCCGTAGATTTCTTCACCCCTAATAATCTTTTACAAAAACTTCAATGTATTTTCTCTATATCTGGTGCTTTATGAAAGCCCCAAACTTCCGCTCCATAATTAAAATTACTACAGACATATATGTATCGTAAACATGAAGCTGAGTTTCAACGTAAAAATATTTTTTCTTAGACACATTTGATATTGAAAACAATGCTTTTCTTCCTTGTTCAGCGATTTTTTGTTGATTTTTTTTTACCAGTGTAATTCATTAATATTCCCAGGTAATTAAATTCATTTACAATATCTACCATCAAATTACCAATTACATTCTTCTCTTAATTTACCTCCGTTACGAAAAACCATCACCTTGGTGACAGGGAAACATACAGGTTTGCAGATTAACGAATTATACCGGGATAGTAAAACGGTAAACTATTATAACTTATAAGAGAAAGTTTGTAAGCTGTAATGTTTTCAACATGATATTTGTTAGAAATTGTCTGTCTGCTGGTAGCGTATGTAAATGTGGGGTTGATTTACACATCATACAATGAGAGTATTTTACGTACACATAAAGAACGTAGGCTATACGTTATTGGAAATGCTATAATACAGTTCAGTTTTGTACGCGTGAAAATGTTCGGTTAACATACAAAGTGTGACCTAGTCTGTATGTTTTTTTATACAACGGAGTCAGACATAAACAACTGAACAGCGAGAGCTATCTGTGGATATGTGTTGTACGAATGGACGTTGGGTGGCTCTCTGACCCGTTTCTGTTCTATCGACAGAGACAATAAATGGTTGTACATATATTTGCGTTGTTATTGTATTATGTGTTAGAAGGTTCCAGAACAACCCGTTGTGGTAGACATCTAAATATAGACCATGTATAGGAATTCTCATGACGTCAGCATTACCCTGTCAGGGTGGTGCTGCAGGGTGATGCGGGGTGGTGGTAAGGATTATATAGGAGACTGCACTCAAGGGCCCTGGCCCAAAAGCGGCGCTTTTCTGCTACTAACGACCTAACATTGAATAGATATGATATCAACAAAATGTGTCACTCTTACAAACCCCAAAAACGCTTTGTTTCAAGGGGGAAATACTAAAGAGTTTGAAAGATTATGATATGATATATATAAATATATATTTATTCTTGGCCTTCATTATGTAAAATGTCTTCACTACCATCTCTAAATATAAGCAGGAATAAACATACATAAACATGGAAATGAATTAGTTTCATTTTACTAAAGTATTTTTTATTATGTTTTAGTTAATATGTCACCCTGATATGATTATGAATTTTGTGTAATATATTTTGATAAACGTGTTTGATGAATTTCGTCATCGTGTGCGTTTGATATATAGGTGTCTTACATGTATAAGTGTTGGTCGTTGCCTGTCCGTATTTTGTCTTGGATATCGTAGTTTGGAGTTAATGATACATTGTGTATGTTTGTCCCTTTCATCAGATGATCGATATCGGCGACACCTTAGACAGACATTGCTGAATGAACTTATCGACATCATCACGAGGAATAAAAAAAAAACATATCCTTATTCCAGAAGCTGTTCCCTGTGTGACTAAGAGAGAAAATACATGTTTGGTACATGTTCAAGAGATAAATCCGGTGGAACTACATCACACAGTTAAGTTACCTAAACTCCCTCCGCAACACAAATCTAAACCAAGTAATTAATATGCAGACATTAAAAGTAATAAGTGTAAATCAGAGATCGGTATTAACGCACGGAAAACACCCCTATCGTGTTACATAGGCGCTGTTCAATGTTAGTATTTCTCCATGTTGTATACTCATTCTAGTTCCCGTTTTGCATTGCTGTACATAATACACAAAATAAAGTGTGAAGTTATCAGCAGTTAAAAAAGTGTTGAAATGCAAAATAGGCATAAATACTTTAATGCTACATCATATTAACAGTGATATAGTGATAGAAAAAAAATAATGACAAGAGTTATTGAAGTACTAAATAAACACATAAAACATAAAAAGACACTTACTCACACTTTTTTTTTTATCATTTGCATACTAAATTATACCACCTACCGGTAGCATGATAAATTCTTTATCGTGGGTTGTCAATATTCAGATACTGTGTTAGAAGTTAAACGACTCTAAGAACAACGTGAAAATTGAATTTCCCGTATAGGACAAACGAACGTCCGCTCGCGCCAGGTGACGTCCTGAACCGTAAATAGTATCCTCACAAAGGTGTTCCGCGCAAAATAATCCGTCATAAACAAATCATTGTAAACTATGAAAAACATTGTCAGAATAAAAAAAAACAACTCTTTAGCTTTAATATACATATAGAGAAGCCAGTGGTGATGAAATTGATTTAAAAACATTTTTTATATAGTTTTAAGGTGGATGATATTCCTCCGCGCAAATCTTCTATTTGTTAACGTCTGTCACAGACCGAGGATCTGGATGATCATTAAGCCTAACATTTATTAAGTGGACTTTTTATGGAAGGAGTTATATATAAGGATTAGGTATATAGATGATAAACAGTTTATAACCTAATGTTATCTGGGTTTGTCGTTCGAACATTTTCTTTCATGAAATTGAAGGGCCACCACTCTAGATTGTATCAACGTTTTCGCAATGAGAACAATTTTCTCACAACGAAGTCTGGAAACACAATGAGATAATTTGAATTAACGTAATTGTGGAATATTTTTTGTCATAATTCGTACAGGATATATGATAAAAGTTTCTTTATGCTTAAACTTAATCAGGAAAAGACGGAACTAATCGTCTTTTCCCCAAAGTGTCAGTAAACAATGGCTCTCCAGCTCAAGGTTGGTGCCAGAACTATTGAGACTGTTCCAGCTGTTAAAAACCTAGGGGTATACTTTGACAGTTCTCTGAACATGGAGAAACAAGTGAACGCTATTGCCAAATCCTGTTACTACCAGATCAGGAACATCGGCTGTATTCGGCAGTTTCTAACTGCAGATGCATGCAAGATTTTGGTGCATTCACTTGTTACCTCTCGGTTGGATTATGGTAACGCCCTGCTCTGTGGTATATCTGACAAACTAACTAGTCGTCTGCAGAGGGTCCAGAACACTGCAGCACGGCTAGTTACTCGTACTCGAAAGAGAGAGCACATCACACCTGCGCTTTATTCGTTGCACTGGTTACCTGTACGATACAGGTCGCAGTACAAAATTCTGGTATACACATACAAGGCACTGAATGGAACAGCTCCTCAGTACCTACAGGAACTTGTTACCCTGTATCAGCCGTCAAGATCACTGCGGTCGGAGTCAGAATCTTTGTTGTGTGTCCCAAAATCTCGTACTGTGACCTACGGAAACAGATGCTTTGGGAGGGTTTCGGCTACGTTGTGGAATAGCTTACCATCTGCTATTAGGAAGTCGAATACCCTGGCCAAGTTCAAGAGGGACATAAAAACTCACCTCTTCACGTCTGCATTTTAGAATCTTTGCAAAGACGTCATGTAAATACCACCTTTTTTTTTGTTTAATTATGTGCACATTGCTTGTTAAATGCATGAAAGTGATTGCAAGCCTTTGTTGTTTGTTTTCACAATTATAACCATTACTAGTATCTATATGTTGTAAAGCGCCTTAGAGTAATTTTACAAATTATATAGGGCGCTATATAAATGCTGTATATTATTATTTATTATTATGATATATGTTTGTTTCTACCACAATACGCTGTGTTATTCCACTCTCCTCAGATCATTGTATAAACACGCAGACTGTTAGATAAATATGAGTTATATACCACACGTGGTATATGACCTTCAAGAGTTTTGATTGGTCGAGAAGATGAACTTTGACCGGGAAGACTTTTTCCACATGCTTTAT